AAGAATTTATTTATTAACTTAATTACCCCACTATTATAAAGATTGAGAAAAATAATAAATATCTTTTAAAACATGACTTTTTGTTGGTATTGTGACTTAAATACCCTCGCTACCCGTTCAATATTGATCAAAGTGTCGTAATTGAAAAAATAAGAAATTGTTTTAGCATTTAAATCTTATTTTGCATAAGTATTTATTTAGTTAAATAGAGTTACATAAGAGATTCAAAGTGTTATAGCATCCCTCAGTGAAAATAACATGAAAGTAATGATCATCAAGCAGGTTATATGTATTAACTTCATGTTATGTAAGTTTGACCTGTTTAATATTTATGTTATTGGGTCATGTCATGTTTTTATTTGTATTAAACAACAGTAAACCCGAACCGGCTAATTTCATATACGATTCAAATCATGATATTGTGTTGTGTCAAAAATTTTCACCCTCAGTTCTAGTGGTAAGTAGATGGCCATATTTTGTAGCAAAAGGTAAGCTCAGTGATAAGTAGTGACATAGTATGTCTTAAATTATTTTCAATATTAAGTGAACAACAAAAAATTTTTATTTTTATTTTTTATTATTAAAGGTGGGAAGCAGTTTTATTTTAATATCTAAGAAAATTTCTTTTTTTATTTGATTTTAATCATTACCAATCAATAATTGATATATTTTTTTTCTTAGAAATGATTTTTTAAAATTATAAGATACAAAATTTATTTTTTTTTATAGAGAAAATATCCATTATAATTGTTTTAAAAAATCTCATTTTATATATGAAAAAAATAATTTTTTAATTATTCATAAAAGTACTACACAATTAATCCTTCCTTAAAACAAGGGTTAAAACTGGATGTAGTTGTCTATTATTAAACTAATTGAAAATATTTAAAAATACCGCTTGGTTGCCATTTATGGTCAACTATTTTCTGTAAAACAGAGTAAAAGTTAGTTGTTAATGCATTCTTAACATGTGTCTTAGGACACTTGTTAACAAAATCCATTTTTTATTTGTATGGGTACTTGTTAAAGTTTTTTGCTTTTGAGATTGTTCAAATGCTTCTTAGCATAATATTGATTTGTCTTGTCATTAGGTTTCGTCTTTGGTGAGAGGTGCATTGGATAGGGTGGCCTTGAGAGTCAGGATTTTGGTGATGATTACAACTTCGTGATATATTTTCATTAGCAGTAGCTGGTATTTTTTATTTTGGATTTTTCATGCTGAACAGATTCGTATGTGGATTCTTTTTCTTACAAATGTTGACTCTCTCACTGTTTTTTTATTAAATACTTGCAAGTAATATGCAATATTTAGAAATGGTTCTTCATAAATGGCAAAAATTGATTATGTTGTCATTCTAAGGAAAAATTTAGACTTTTAACACATTTCTGATATTAGTGTCATTCTTACAGTGCACAGGATGATCTTTCATTTACATTTGAATATTACTACTCTCAAATATTTATATAAGCAAAATAAACTTTCTTTTTTTGTGTAACCATTTTTTGTTAAAAATTGCACTTTCTGTAGGAGTATATATGGGGCATTTATTTATTGTCCCAAATATTATAATGTAGTATTTTTATGGTAACTTATTTATCTCTAAAGCACCATTCTTCTATCGTGATTTTTCTAATAATATTTCAGTGATCATCGAAGTTATAAAATATAAATTTATATAGAATTAAAAAAATTACATTGATCTTATCTTAATTTATTTGTCTCGCTTGCCTAATTTATTTGTCCCGTGGATCTCCTCCCAAAACAATTACACTTGGGCTACATGCATCTACAGACCAATATCCAGCTCTTATCTCATCCTTCAATTGCTTCTTTTCCCACCCACGATACGGGTCATTCAATTTGAACCTAAAAAATATCTCGGTATGCTTAACTCAAATTTTAAAATTTTCATTTTTATTATACCCTAGTATGAATTTACTAATAAAAACAACATATTAAATTTTAAAATAAAAAATATTTTTTTTCTCATAGCACACCCTAATTAATTATACATGTTCTTTCTATTTAAATATCTCTATCTTCTTCTCTTAGTTTTAATTCGCATTTTCTTTTTCACTTCAAAATTTCAGTCTGCCCCATCAAAACTCACCATTATTATAAATATAATTATATAGATATTTTAATTTTGTCTTTTTGGTGATTGTCATGTGGTGGATTCATATCGGAAATACGTAAGTAACTGGAAAAATAGCATTTTGAGCAACTGCAACAAAACAGGTTATATGTATTAACTTCATGTTATGTAAGTTTGACTTGTTTAATATTTATGTTATTGGGTCATGTCATGTTTTTATTTGTATTAAACAACAGTAAACCCGAACCGGCTAATTTCATATACGATTCAAATCATGATATTGTGTTGTGTCAAAAATTTTCACCCTCAGTTCTAGTGGTAAGTAGATGGCCATATTTTGTAGCAAAAGGTAAGCTCAGTAGAAAAAAAGACCAAGAAAAACCGATCAAGAAAAAGGGCTAATGCAACACACACGCACACACAAAACCAAATTCACTGTGGACGACGGTGGATGGCGGTGGACGACGGACCACGATGGACGATGGTTGGTCAATGCGAACATAAAGTTCAAGCTTCATGCTCGATGAATGCGAAGGCGAAGTTTACCCTCAGCTTCTCCTTCGTCATCCTCCCTCACCGTTCTCCTTTCTATGTATGTATGTGAACAAAAGAAAAGTTTTTAAAAAGGGTTTTCAAAAGTAATTTTTAGATTTTTTAATTTTTTTTATTTGGGTGTACCTTCAAAGATTAATTTGGGAAAAAAATATGGTACACTGAAAATAAATTGTAATTCTAAATAATGTACTAAAGTGTACTGAAAAATTAGGCTCACTTAATCATTTTTTTGGAAATAAATAGAATTCCCCCCACAAAACCCATCAAAGAATGTGAACTCCCCAACCCTAACCACATCCCTCTTCATCATCTCAAGAGCACACCCCACACTCTTTGGTCCCATAGTACAACCCTTTCATCACTTACTCAAACACCCCACTCCTCTCAACCCCATCACCGCTACTGTCTTTGGGACTCACCAAAAACATCCCTTCCTCAGAAAATGTTTTTTGATAATTTTATTGTGAAAAACAATAAACATAAGCAATTTTGGGTAGGATAAAGAAAACCCTTACGAATAATTAGATTTTTTTTATTACTACATAAATTTTCCATTTGTGATTGTCAATATTATGTCAGAAAACCATGGTGTTGTTGAAATTGTTAGAAACATTGGGGGAGAATATAATTTCAATAATGCTGTAGTAATAAATTTTGGAAACTATTTGATAGGTTAGGCAAAATTAGAGAAAATTTCAAACCTTGTAATCTAATTGTTTCCAAATACTGATACTACTAATTCATTTGAGGTCACCTAGCTTAGTTAGGATGTCCATTGAGGGCAAATTACACTAAAATTTTGTAAATACTAAAATATTTTTTCAGCGAAACAAGAACATTTTTAAGCTCTGTCAATGTTTATTAACTTTAATGCTAAACAAGTAATAGTTTTTAGGACTTAATTAATTAGAAATGCAACTAATCTTGTTTCCTAAATGTGGCCAATGGGCATAATTAATGTCACTATAAGGGCAGAGTTTCGATTTTAAATCAAATCAAAACATACCAACATATTTGTATTACCATTGTACAAACTACTTTGAACCACCTTCTTAGCGATGAAATAAGTGTATTTACAATTGCAAACAGTATTAAAATATGAGAACCTATAATTAAATATATATATTTTTTTCAAATTGTGGAGATTGCTAATTATAATTATTATTATACAAGTTTTTTTTTTTATAATTATTTATAAGTAATTACCAATATATAACATCATCATTAGATAACGATTAAAAAAAAATAATCCATATCATGAAAGTTTTGAATGGTTCCAATAGACTTCATCACTTCAAACACATCACTTTAAACAAATTACATGAGTTGGAATAAGGTTTCTTTAATTAAGATTTCACAAATGTTCATATGATTTTGAAGTATGTGTGATTTTTTGATTTGTGAAGTTAATCTTTAAATGCTTGATTTAATAGATAAATCATATACTATTGATGACGAGTCATCATTCTTTGAAGTTTGATGGAAACTTGGTGAACCCTAATTCAACAAGTCAACTTTCCAACTACACAGCCGATAGTTGAGGTGGAGCGTACAAAGATTTCCATGATACAAATCATAAACATATTTTCAAAAAAAAAAAAAATAATAATTTCATAAAATTCATGCTACTAAAGGGGAAATTGACAGTTGTCAAATCATTACAAGTTGACCTCAGACAAAAAAATTCACTATTCTTAAAAAAATTTCAAAGCTATCCTCTACCGATAGCTCAAAATAGATATTTCTATTCAACAGATAATTTTCAATAAAAGATATAATCTCATCATTTTCAAATGGAAGTGATATTACATATTCAACTCCACCATCCTCATCAACATTTGCATTCATTCCATTCTTACAAAACCCAACATCGATTTCCATTTCCTTTTTCAAACCAAACATCCATAATTTTAGGTCAAAACCCCTTGCTCTTTATAAATCAATTTCAAGTAGAGAAACCCACCATTTTAACATATCTTAATCGTAAAAACAACCCCATAACCTTTCTCAAGAACTCATTTGAAAATCTCTCTTTTGTATTTCAATTTCAAACCCTATGTTTAACCCAAAAATAAAATCAATTAAATTTCTAGCCAATCATGAATAGAACAATGGTAGAACATAAAAGGATAATCCAATTGTTTAAATAGAAAAAGTACTACAGCAATATTTCTAGGCTTCAAAATCCAATCAAAACCTGAACATGAATGGAAAATAGAAGATCAATTAGTTTAAAGATCAAATTTTGATAAAAATCTTTAGTAACCTCAAATCTTCAATTGCACATAAAAACGAATACGACTATATATCAAACAGAAAATGAGAACCAAACTCAATAGTGTTATTCGTGCTTCTTCAAAACTAAGAGTAATAATATACAAATAGAAAATTTATATAGAATTTTCACACATCATGATGTGACTCAATATCCACATTTCACTTTAAAACAAAACACCCATCAAGATAAATGTATTTACAAAAATGTCATTCCCACATCATTCTTGTGGAGCTTTTGTACGAATTTCATGTATGAATAGAGTTTTCCTAAAACAAACTAAAGAAAACTTCCTCGACACATAGATAAACCATCTCCCTCTGCTCTATTCTCACCCCCTCTCAACCTCTCCATGGCAGCACTAGCTTAATTTATACAGTACAAAAACTAATTAAGATGTCTAATAAAACACAAAATCAATCTATAAGATAAAATTTACATAAGAGTAATATATGCTTGCCAGCAAACAATTTACAAGTAAATACATATTTGCGTTGTGGCCCTTGTTAGAGTAGAATGGCAAAACCAGTTTCATGTAGGTATATCCAAGCAAAATAGTTCAATAAAGGTTTCATTGATTTATGATGTGAATTATTGTTTTTCTTCTTATTTATATCCCCAAAGATAATCAGCATCCATTATTTTTAGGAAAGCAATGTCATAACAAATTATCTACAATGGAAAAAAAAAATACGCACAGTATTTATATCTGGATTAGCAGTCACAATTTGCTTTTCAGTAGGCAAAAACTTATTCTGCTTAAACTCCATGTCACCTGCAGTAAAATAGAAATTAGCCATCAAGCTCTTGAGTTATCCAAGAAAAGAAAAGAAAAAGATTTCAAGCTCTCTCTATTATACCTATCAATGAGATTAAAATCATCAAATAAGTATGACTATGAAAAGAGGACAAAGTAGAGCTACAAGCATCTCTCTCTCTTACTCAGCCTGGGAAAATGGAAACCAAAAGAAAGGAACCAAGGTAGTAACATAAACGTGTATTTCATCAATATATTACCCATAACGAACATGTTTTACATCTACAAGATTTAAAAATACCATGAACTTTCTATCCACTAAAAGTCAAATACCATGTTCCACATCTACAAAAGTTCAGCTACAGAGAACATTCACCTAAGGGCGTAAATAATTCCCTTTTTGAACCATCAGCAGAAATATAAAATGACAGAAGTCCTCTTCAATTGTACATTACCTGGCCCTTCCTTGATATTAGACAACGAGAATCACCGGCGTTGGCAACAATAAGTTGATTGTTTCTAATAATTGCAACACAAGCTGTGCACCCTGAAGTTGGTCCAGAAAAATCAGAATGGGGCCCCTAAAAGCAATAATTGGAGTAAATGAGTCACAAGGATGCAGTGCAAGAAGGAAAAAAAGACAGTACAAAAATGAAAACTCATCAGGCAAGTGTTCACAAAACATAATCAAATTCACAAGGAAAAAGAAAAAAAACAGGTTTGAAGTAGCTAAAAACAAAGCATGTAAATTGTAATGTAATGTCATACATATGTTCTGGTGAGTCTCCAATAGGTATAAAACTGACTATAATTACATACAACACAATACCATGAAATCTTTCCTAAAAAGAAAGTCATGGAAAAGTTTCAAATGATGATAGTAATTAAGCAGTTCTCCAGGCGCACACGCACACAAAAAGAAAAAAACTAAGGATTTGATCTTCAAAGTAATTTGATCTATAAAACAATTGACCTTCAAAGTTCTCCAGAATTCATAAGAAAATAATGATCAAATAAAGATAGAATTCAACTATAGATCAAATAAACTTATCCGAAATTCATAAGAACCTAATGATGTAATTACTTTCTTTTTTTTTATTTTACTAGTCAATGTTATAAAAAGAAAGGCACCAACCATTTGCCAACTGGATACATAGAAAACATAGAAAGGAAGCCAATGACTTGATATAGTAATGAAAAGACAACATGCACAATAATCAATTCACAAAAATTTATTAACAACAAACACAAGAATTTGTGATACAATGAATATAAAATTAACCGAATACAAAATCTTTGCTTCACAGAATGACTCTTCAGAATAGTTTAATATATGAAAAGAAAAAGAAGAAGAAGGATTGAATTACTGTAGAGCATAGTTTAATATATACCACCAATTTAATGAATTTGACGTGGCTAAGCCCACCTGCTAATCAAAATAACTGAACACATTGTACTGCATATTATGCTATGTAATGTGAAGGTATAGATGCAGGGGGTGGCATAGTGCATTGCAACATGCATTGATTAAAGCACACATACAATTGCAGGATGATGCAAGCATATGTTTGTTGGACAATCTTCACTGTATTTGAAAATTAAATTCTGTTGTGTACTTAACAACAACCAGAATACAGAAGAAATAAAGGAAATGAGAGAATTTGTTTGATTACAAAAATCAAACCAGGAAAATAAAATAAAGTAAATAAAAACAGATTTTTATTTTGTTACAAAAACAAAATCAAAATCTGATTTAAATAAATAAATAAATAAAAACAGAAAATAAATAACCAACTTACTTGATTAATTTCTTAAATAATATTCAGATCAAGTCCAGTGTTCGACACTCTGTCCTTAAGACAGATTCGTCCTTTCCATGGTGCTTTCAGAATATGGACGTCTATCTCCCAGGATAAAATGATCTATCAACGAATAAATGCAGCACTACAATTTATTCGAACAACGAACACACTAAGTGTGTACTTTCTTAGAAGGAAAATAATGCAGCAAAAATGCAGAGAAGGCAGACAATATTTAGGACGAAATTATTAAATGAAACATCAAATGAGGGCTAGTCTATTTATAAATGTAGTGGCACCCTTTTAATTTGAATTGAACATGTAGCATACCTGTTTGAATAGGTACTGAACCTGTTGGTTTGAATTGGTATTGTTTGGGTTCAAATTCAAACAGATAAAACCGAATTGCACAGATTTAAATCTGTCTGGGTTTTCTGAAATTTAAACAGATTCAAATCTATTCGGGTGGCAGAAAAACGGACCCAATTTTGAATTCAAAAAATTGAAATTTAAATTGGACCAATTTTATTTACCAAAAAATAAAATTGAATTCAAATGTTTTTGGCCCAAAAAGAATAGTATTGGGTCGGACAAGCCCAACCCAACCTTACACCACGTAGTCGCGCCCAAGCCCAGGCCCAGCCCGCCCGACCGGACGGCGGCAGCGGTGCGCACGTGTGTGGTGATTTTTGGGTCTAATAGGTCTAGCCCATTTTGCCCATAACCTCCCTCTCTACAAAACTTGGGTACCCCTTGGGGCACGCCCCAAGTTCCAATCCCATGCCTTATAAACTCACTCAAAACTTCCCACCAAATCAATGTGGGACAAGCCATTTTTTCAAACCTTTATGGATTTTCCACCAAAACTCTATTTCCATGGAGCACACTTTGGCTTCAATTTCCCATTCACTCGATAATGGTTTTGAACAACCAAATATACCACGTGAATCACAACACGGCATAGAACGTGTTACCACTTCGACCTGCCAACTTTGGTGTACAGGACCCACCTAAATAATAGACCAAAGTTAGGAAAAAAATTCTGTTTTTACCCAGAATTTCCAAACCATTTCTAACAATCCCCCACATGAATGGAATTTGATGACAACGAAAATGCAACAATATGCAGACTTTGTCGAAAGAGTATAAGTCGAAAATATCTCGCATTAAGATAGGTAACTTTTGGCCTTGAACCTTCCCTAGTGATAACCTATCAGACTTACTAGCTAACCAATGGACGTGATGCCTTGAATTGTTCAGCCGTTTGTGTAAGCCAAGACAATAGATTTCACACAAAATATCTTCTAACACATCGTGGTTCTCATTGTTGTGTTCATTTTGGCCTTGAACGCTCCTGGTTTTCATGAGTGTTTCTAGAGAATTTAGTCTCTTCATTCTCATAGAACCGGTCGCAGTTCAACACTCATATAGGTGATTCTTATTGTGAGTATCTCTTTATACTCGTCTTGATTTTATGCCTTAATCAAGATATAAGTAATCTTTAAAAGCAAAGCTTACCTTTATACCCCTGCAGGCAACACATGTTGTAGATATCACTCTCACCATAGGAATGGGTAAGGAATTTTAATCCCTTGGTGATTTCTGGCGAGCCATACATAACTTAGTTGTCCCTTTGAACTTAGTTCTTGGGATCTCCAGTCATATAAGTAGGGTTACCATTATGATGACTCTTATGTAATAGGCTTTAATCCCATCCTCTTCGATGAACTATACACTTGCTCTTTTATCAAACTTTTTGTTAACAGATCCGCAATATTCTCTTTAGATTTTATATAATCTATTGAGATTGTTCCATTTGAGAGCAATTACCTTACGGTATTATGTCGACGACGAATATGTCGTGACTTACCATTATACATATGATTCTGTGCCCTGCTTATTGCAGATTGACTATCACAATGAATGCAAATAGCTGGCACAGGTTTAGGCCACATTGGAATGTCTTCTAAGAAGTGACGAAGCCATTCTGCTTCTTCTCCTTCTTTGTCTAAAGCAATGAACTCGGATTCCATTGTGGATCATGCAATGCATGTTTGTTTCGTGGATTTCCAAGAAATAGCAGCGCCTCCCAGAGTAAAGACATATCCACTAGTGGATTTTGAATCTTTAGTATCCGATATCCAATTTGCATCACAATAACCTTCGAGTACTACTGGATATCGAGTAAAGTTCAAACCATGATTACGGGTAAATCTTAGAAATCTAAGAACCCGAATGATCGCCTTCCAATGGTCTTCTCCGGGGTTACTAGTGTACCTACTCAATTTACTGACTGCATAAGCTATGCCAGGATGAGTACAATTCATTAAGTACATTAGGTTTCCAATGATTTGGGAGTATTTTAACTGAGACACTGCATCACCTTTATTTTTCGATAAATAAAGATTGATGTTTACAGGTGTTCTAGCTACATTCAAATCATCCTTGATAAATTTATCAAGAATTTTCTCAATATAATGAGATTGAGATAATGCATATTTGTCAGTTGTTTTAGTAATTTTCATTCCTAATATAACATCTGCGACCCCCATATCTTTCATATCAAATTTTTTGTTAAGCATTTGCTTAGTTGATTTGATCATGTTTTGACTGCTTCCAATGACAAGCATGTCATCCACATAAAGACAAACTATGACATATCCTTGGTCAGTGTTTTTAACATAGACGCATTTGTCACATTCGTTTATCTTAAACCCATTAGTAAGCATTGCATGATCAAATTTTTCATGCCATTGCTTAGGTGCTTGTTTTAATCCATAAAGAGATTTTACAAGCCAACAAACTTTTTTTTCTTGCCCTGGTACTACAAACCCTTCGGGCTGCTCCACATAGATCTCTTCATTTAGATCATCGTTTAAGAAAGCTATCTAACATCCGTTTGATGTATTTCTAAATTAAACAATGCTGCTATAGCAATAAGCATGCGAATGGATGTTATTCTTGTCACAGGAGAATATGTGTCAAAATAGTCCAGACCTTCCTTTTGTCTATAACCTTTTACTACAAGTCTTGCTTTATACTTGTCTATTGAACCATCTGCTTTCATTCTTCTCTTGAATATTCACTTAAATCCAAGAGGTTTAGAACCGGGTGGAAGATCCACCAATTCCCAAGTATGATTTTGCATAATGGATTCAATTTCATTATTAACAGCCTCTTTCCACAAAGGTGCTTCAGGACTTGTCATTGCTTCCTTAAAGCTTTGAGGTTCATTTTCTAACAGGTATGTCAAAAAATCTGGACCAAAGGATTTTGATGTTCTTGCTCTCTTACTTCGTCTTGGTTCATCATCAATTATATCCTGTTGGTCGAGACCATTACTAGTCTCTTGTGTTTAATTGTCATTAGTCTCTTGACTTTGTATACAATCATAAGTTCTTTTCTGTGAACTTAATTCCAGTCCTTTCTTGTAAGGAAAGACATGTTCAAAAAACACAGTATTTCTTGACTCTATAATAGTGTTCACATTTATATAAGGTATTTCTGATTTATAAGTCAGAAACCGATATGCACTACTATTATGAGCATAACCAATAAACACACAATCTACTATTTTTGGTCCAATCTTAGTCTTTTTACGAACAGGAACTTCAACTTTTGCCAAACACCCCCACACTTTTAAGTATTTGTAGGAAGGTGGTCGACTTTTCCACAATTCATAAGGAGTGCTGCTGGTTTTCTTATGGGGTATTCTGTTAAAAACATAATTAGCAGACAATATTGCTTTCCCCCACAAGTTCTGTGGTAATCCTAAACTTAGTAACATGGCATTCATCATTTCTTTTAGGGTTCTATTCTTCCTTTCAGCAATTCTATTTTGCTGAGGAGAATAAGGTGCTGTAGTTTGGTGAATAATGCCATGTTGTGCACAAATTTCATTTAATGGTGCATCATATTCACCACCCTTATCACTTCTAACCATTTTAATGGTTTTACCAAGTTGATTTTCAACTTATGTTTTCTAGAGTTTAAACATTTCTAAGGCTTCATCTTTATTTCTAAGTAAATAAACATAACAATGTCTTGTGCAATCATCGATAAATGTTATGAAATACTTTTTGCCTCCTCTAGTTTGAACAAATTTAAGATCACGTACATCTATATGAAATAATTTTAGAGGTTCGGTTTTCCTTTCAACCGATTTAAATGGAGCCTTAGTTAGTTTCGCTTCTACACAAATTCACATTTATGATTAGGATCAATTTCAAACTTTGGTATATAATCCAAACCAATTATTCTACACAAAGCATCAAAATTTACATGTCCTAATCTACTATGCCATAAATTCGACTCAAGAATATAA